GGCGGCGGCAACGGTGACGGCGACGAGGTCGGTGGCCTTAGTGGTCGCGGGTATGGGGGTGGGGGGGGAGAGGGATCAGGCGAGCGTGGAGACGGAGGCGGTGGCGGCGGCGGATTCGGCGGCGGCGGTGCTGAAGGCGGTGCTTCTGGTGTTGGCGGCGGCAGTGGCGGAGGAGGAGGCGGGGAGGGATCGGGCGAACTTGGACTCGGGGGTGGAGGTGGCGATGGAGACGGCGAAGGGGGCAGGCTCGGTGGAGGCGGCGGTGACGGAGGGTGATCCGGTGAGGGTGGCGGTGGCGGAGAGGGATCGGGCGATCGTGGTGAGGGGGGCGGTGGCGGTGACGGCAAAGGGGGCGGTGGGGGAAGCGATGGGATTGGGGGTGGTGAGGGAAGTGGGATGGGAGGGGGTGAAGGAGGGGGTGAAGGAGGGGGTGGTGAGGGGAGCGGGGCTACAGGCGGCGGTGGCGATGGAGGAGGAGGGAATGGCTTGAATGAGGAAGCTAGCGCACTGACTGCGGTCCGGTCTTGCGATCCACGTGCATGCATTAGCTCGGGTGAAAGCAGCGACGTTGGCGAGGAGGACGACGAGCGCTGCGCTGTGTCTGACATGAGGTGCTCGGGCGACAAAAAGACCTCGGCGAAGAGCGGCTGCTCTGGGATGAGTCTGGATGTCGGGGCTTTTGCTCCTGGATTGAGCCGCTCTGGTGACAAAGCAGCCTTTGCGTACAGCGGCTGCTCTGGGTTGTGGAGGAGAAGGGACGGTGAGGGCGGCGAGGTGGCAAAGCTCCCCTCCTCGGGAGCTGTTGGCCACAGGAAATTGCTGCCATAGCTGTAGCTGAAGCTGCTCGTGCTGCTGTCGGCGGCATCATAGGCCAGCCGCCCGTAGCTGTAGCTCACCAAATTCCTTCGGACCTGCTGTCGCCCTCTCACCTGCACGCCGGGCGCACTGAGGCTCCAGATGGCGCCACCCAAAGTGTCCATCACGTCCTGCTCAGCCCCACAAGGTGTTGAGGCTGGTACCTGCTTGTGACCGCCGGGACAGCGCGGCCCTTCGGGTGCAAGTTGCAACTCCAACATGTCGTGATGGCCATTTAGTGCAACTCAAATCTCTCCTAAATCAGCAAATGCAACCGGTGTGACCGGGCGACCGGTGTGACCGGTGTGACACATTCGCGGAATTCACGGTATCAGAGGAGAAACATGCGCGCGTTCGCCCCCCTCCCGCCTCTCTCCTTCCCGTCTCGCTCCCGTGCACAATCCTGTGCCGTGGGGCCAGCCGGAGGCCCACCCGCCCGACCCGCTTTGCTCGCTCCTCGTTCCACCGCCTCCACCTCATCGCCCGAGAGGCTCGGCACGAGCGCGGGCGCATCGCCCGAGGCTTGCACCAGGAAGCCGAGGCGGCGCGCCATGCCTGTGGGGTAACCGCCGTCTGCAGCTCGCTGGTACCACTTGTAGGCCTGCGTGATGTCCTTGCTCACCCCATCGAGGCCAATGTAATACGCGAGACCGAGATCCATCATCGCCTCGGTGTCGCCCGCCTCGGCCCGTCTCGTCGTCTGCTCGATGCTCGTCGTGGGCGACCATACCTTTTGCTGCGTCGGGCTTGAGCAGGGCACGGCCGGTGCGGCGCCAGCCTCGTCGTCAACTTCATCGCCTTTGACCACGCCACGCCACGCAACAGCCACCCCACGCGGCGAAGCTTTGAGAGCCCGAGGTGCCAGAGAGGCTTCTCTCTCCCGTCGAGTCACGACTGTTGCGATCAGCATAAGGGACACGACGGCGACGCCGGCGGCGAGGCCGACGGGGAGCGAGACTTGGCCCGAGAAGAACGAGCGCAGGCTTGGCGCTGGAGGCAGTCGTGGCGGCGGTGGGGGCGGTGTCAATGGTGGCGAGGGAGGCGACGCCGTCGCGGTGTGCAGGTTTGAGACTCGTAGCTGGTGCTCCTTGACCGCATTGGCGAACCCGTCTGACTGCACGGCTTGCATCACGTCGTCCGTCGTTACCGTGGCGTGTGGAGCAATCTCCACCTCGAAGCCGGAGCCCGTGTCAAGAAGCCTGACATCACCCGGCTCGACTCCAGCCGGAAGCTGGTCGAGAAGCACCGCCTCCAGCGAACTGGCGTCAAAGAGCCGTCGGTGTGAGTTGGCTGGTTCCGCAGTCTCAAGGAGGTTGAACACGACTACAAGGTGCCTGGGCGGGGGCGGCGGCGGCGAGGCCATCGGTTGAGCAACCGCGCCCGCTCCCGTCAGCGCGAGTGCGGCCAGGGTGAGGGTGACAACGAGGACCGCGACTTGCATGGCCCTGTTGAAGCCCGTGGTAGGAAGAGGAGCCCGTGTCGCGCTTCGCGGGACAGCACGATGCAGAAGCTGGACGGAGTCGGCTTCGCCGCGGAGCGGCTGCTCCTCCTTGCGCCTGGCGGCCGCCTCGATGAGCCACTTTGGATCCTCGGTGGAGACTTGTTGAACCTCGCCACTGGTTTCAGCCCGTCGTGGGCTGCGGTCTTCTCTGTGGCGCAGCGGTGCGCCTAGGCGGGCCATCGGCAGGCAAGGCACTAGTTGACGATAGCCGCCGAGCGCTCAATCGTTCGAACTTGACACGCCCAGCAAGTTCGTCAAACCGCCCCCCCCCCCCCC